TCCTGTCTCTACCAGGTTTGACAGAGTGCTGCAGTAAGCAAAACTTTTCATGTATTTTTCCTCAACGGATTTAATATCATAATGGGTGTTTTGCCGTTACAAGCGCGTGCTAAAAACCAACCTCGTTCCCAGGGTTCTCTCTCTTCCTCGAAAACAGGCACACTATAGCGGCTTTTGATTGTGACGGGTCTTTAGTTGTAAGAGGTAGGATAAATAATATCTATCAGGTCCCGATTGTTCAAACTTTGGATAGCACTATCCATCGGAAAAATCTCTATCAAGTGGATAAGTATTAGGGAAACTATTGCGTAATCTACTGGATAGATATTGATACAGTGGATAGCGTTATCCGCCTATCGAACAGCTGGGTAAGAAATCCTTCTGATAGATTGATACACTCAACAAAGAGCACAAGAAACGATCGCCTACGGTTCCAGTCCTTTTTCAAGCTTAACTATCCATGTTTGACTGCGAAGAGGGTATATCTGAACTAATGGCAGTGTGCATCTAAAAGCTTTCTTTTGTGTTGTTTCATGCTCTACTCCGAACTACGATGAGGGCCAGTTCGCAGTTTAACTACTGAGTGATCATTCACAGGCAAAAAAATTGATTGAATGGAAACAAAAAAGTGAGAAAATACTGAACGGATGACTCACTGGGTGCTCGAAAACTTGTGAAAATCCCTCTGGAAAGTTTTGAAAGCATAGGTTAGTAATTTTCTTGGCCTGCTTTTATTGCAGTTTGAAACTGAGTGAGGAAAGAAAATAGCTTACTTGCGCTAACAGTTAGTAGAATCTGAGGGGCCAGTTATTTAAACGGAATTTAGCCAGTTTTTAAAAAAACCCGTGTTCTAAGCCATTTTCAGTTTTCCCAACGCTTTGCTGTTAACACCATTTATCGTGAAAAGTCTCATGATAGCACATGGCGTCGACTAGAAATCCAAAGATTCGTTAAACTGCGTCCCTAAGGGACTGCTATTTAAACGAAGTCTAACTTAGGCTGCGTTTTAGCAAATATTTGGACCTTCAGATATCTTCCTTAGTGGGTTATTTTAAGAAAATAAGTGCTTTTATAGTCCACGTCTTATGCTTTGCTTAAGACAAAAGCGGTGGGCAAACTGAAACTGGCTTAGACCGCGGTTTTGTAAAACACTGGCTAAACTCCGTTTAAACCTTATTATTCATTCAAAATATTTCCCCGATTCTGATTGGCTAAAANCCCCCCCCCCCCCCCCCCTCCCTTATCTGCATATTGCTCCTAAAACGTCTTCAATGTTAATAGCGACAGGAGGATGAAAATTATATTTCAATTACCAGAAACCAGTAGCAAATGTTGTATTCGAACATTTCTAAGCCACCTCATTTTGTTTGAATATCAGTTTGAGGCTGAATCGACGGAATCGTGCTACCAGTAAGTAACTATCGCCGTTAACGCGCCACTTGTATCTACCTTGGAGGTCTCTTGTGTTTATGTTATTAAGGTTTGTCATTTCCTTTTGTTTTCTTCTTTTTGCTCTCATATGAATCTTTTTTACATAAAATAACGATAAATTGTAACGACTTTACGATTCTTCATTAAATCCGCTGAAGAAGGACGGCTTATTCGTCCGAAATATCGGGAAACCTCAAGTGGCTTTTATCTTTGCTGTTTTGTTATTAATTTTATATCTCATATGAATACTGCCGAAGCAGCAAAGGGTGCCCTTGAAGGAGGTACGGTAATAGCGATAATTCCAGTAATTTTAACTACTGAATCAATTTTCAGAAAGATAAACCCAAGACAAAACTTGTCGAGAGGAACAGTTTTATTTTATACGTCTTTTATAACTCCACAACGAATTTTGACATTTCTTTCAAATACTGTCTACCCTAAGCCTGATTCTTCGTAGGTCCAGGTAATTCGCGGTCTGGACCGTGTGACTATCAGACCTGGTAATTTACCTTTGCGTTTCCTTTCTTGTATTCATTAACGTATCTGACGATGCTATCAAAAGCCTCACTTACAGAATATTTTGGAGACTTTTTGTATACCGTCAGAAGTGGTCATCACCGCAAGAGAGAAGTACTGACACGGCACACGTTTTAACTCTTTTAGAAGATAAAAGACATACAAGCTTTAACCAGCACTTGTCGATCCTCATAACTACACTTTTTTGGCCGCTGTACTGATACAATGTACGTATGTGGAAAAGTCTCCCATCTGATGCGTTTGATGTACAAGGTCTGTATGTTACAGCTACCGTAAATAGTATCATGATACCTACTGCCAAAGTTTTAGACCATTTTACATATGACCACCCAATACGGTTATTAGCTCCTTTGTCATTCTTAACATCCTTCTGTTATAAGGCTTCTCCAGGTGATTAAAGTGATCGAAAAATGTAAGCATGCAAATCATAAGTACTTACATTATTTGATTCAGTCATTGCAAAAAATATTTAAAATACTTTTCTACATTTTTACAAAGCATAAAATTTCTTTCTGAGGCTTATTTTTTGAAAACACGGACGGTAGTAATTGCACTAAGTAGCACTGAGATATGGCCCCGGAAGCGTAAGAAGCCCTGTCTACCTAAAGCGAACTGTAAGTATTCGCGGTTGATCTGGAATACTGTCTGGTGCAAGTCTTCTTTCCTGGGACAGAGGTATTGACGACCAATCAAATGTAGAGTACTGCATGACTGACCGCTGAAGTCCGCGTCTTTTAATAGCTTCCTCCAGAGCGTTTCCATCATCACTGCAAAACAAGTCCATACTTGTTACAAGTTCTTCACCGCTACGTAACATTTCTAATGCGAAATGGCAAACTGGACAAAATTCACATGTATTGATGCGTTCGACGAAAGAGAACGCAAACCTAATCTAAAGGAACGATTTAGCATTTAGATTTAGATTTAGATTTAGTTTCATTTTGTGTGATGTCAAAATCAATGATTCGTTCTATTCCATCACACTGCACGTCGTTCCACGCTACACGTGTAGCTGGTGGAAGATTCAAAGAAGTTTAAAGAAAGGGTTCTTTTCAAGTTATTTTTATTGGTCATATCGGACATGGTGGTTGCAATACAGTAGACGTGATTTTAATGCGAAGTATGAGTTTTGTTTTTTGAAAAGCAAAGCAAAACCTTTTAAAAAAGACAATAAGATAAGGACATTTTTCAATCAAAAGCAATTTCCTACTGGACTTAAGCGTTCCATTTACGTTTCCAGTACAAGTTTGATCATTTCTCTCTCTGATAATAGCTTACTATATCGCTGAACAAAAGATTCGAACAATTACCGCAAGCCGCTTAAAAGATCATCAAAACGCTTTATGACAACATCACGTGGTACAAAAAGAAATTCACCACAGACACATTAGGATTTCAACTAACCTCAACGAACTTCATGCAACCGACAAAGCCAGCGGAGCTCGGCATGTAAAGGCAATGGGCGTGCAAGGAATTTTGCGACAAATCCCTTGCATCGTAAATCCAGATACATCGTGGGTAGAAATCAAAAATTTTTGTCCCTGCGGTCGCCCCTGTGCGGATTAGGTCTGCTGCTTTGCTCGAACGCTTCAAGGCTCGCTCGCGCGGCAGAAAACAATGTAATTTAATGAGAAAAAGTCTATTAGATTCGGTTTTTGGATATCCTTGGGCCTCAACAGATAGCACAACTCTTAACTCGACCTTGACGATAGTTTACAATATCAGAAAAACCTTATCCAGTAGTTAAAATATATCTGATTGTATTAGGTGTTCATAACTGAAAAACGAGTCGAGCAACGAGCCACATCTTTTGTTCTCGATGTAATATGACTGGCCAGCGAGAAGAAAGGAATTAATTTTACATACTACAGGAAAAGTTTCACGAGTACTCACGTGGTGACGCCCTCATCTTTTCGCTTTCGCTCGTGTCAGCTCGAGTGTGGAACCTTTTTTGCTGCTCTACTCTTGGTAAGTTAAATGTGCTCACAGCGTGAGCCACTGGCTTTTCTTTCGAGTAAGTCTGGAATCCTTAATGCTCGGTATTTAACGACGGGAAACAAAAGGTGGGGTTGTTGTCATTGTTGTGATTTTGATTTCCATGCAATGTGCACGCGTATAACGTCATGAATGTAAGGTTATTCAAATTTCAAGTTATAACACTGTTAACGTGTTATTCTACACCTGCGCCAACCTCGTCGACCGCATTCTTACAGTGCCAGGTAATTTTGTCAATGTTGGCTAGTCGGTATGGGGCAGCTATAACTGCTAGTTGATTGTGAATCTACTCTATTAAAAGCTAACGGGTACTAAAGGTACGGAAAAACGGGCAACAAAAAACGTGCAACTTGTTTGCAACATTGCTGCAAAACGAATTGCAAAGCAACGTTGAGTGTTTCACACCTTCGTCAAACATGTCTTGCACCCATTCAGGTTGTTGGCAAGTTTGAACGTGGGTGGTAAAACGCGTAACATCGCTTTTCAACTCCTTTTGCAGCAATGTTGGAAAACTAAGTTGTATGTTTTTTGTCGCCTGTTTTTCCGCACCTTAAGTAAACTAAAGTGTTCATACAACGGAAGAAACAGGCATAATTATCCAGCTTAGGGGCTGTAATACCAACCTTGTGATGCTCTCAGATATTCTACTTTCCTGCTCGTCCTGATCATCTGAATCCCAAAAAAACACATGCATCAGTCAAGAAATGTCGAAGTAGCCCTATGCGTATAATAAAAGGAAATAGTTAAAAGATGTACAGTTACCCAAAGTGACATTTTGAGAAGGACACAGGCATACACATTTTCAGAGACTTCTCAATGTGACCCTTGGAACAGATGGGTTTAAAATAGATAAAGCATCTGCCAAGCCTTCGAATACAGCCGTTCCTCCTCGCTCCTCGCGGCCAGTCAAGGAGCGAAGAGAGGCAACTGTGTTCGAAGGCAAGCATCTGTCTAGGCTGAAAGTCAAAAGCAACCTATTTAATACGCGGACATTACATGTAAGACTTTTGCATCTACCCCCATACGTACTACGTTAAAATACATGATATAATCAAATAACTGGTTCTTACAAGGCTTATTACACAGAAACTGATCTTTTAAGATAACAAATTTTTGTTACATTAGAAGCACTGAAAAGTTACAATAAGTTTTTTGATTTCCTTCTTGATAGTGTTATATTACACCAGACTCGTCAAAAGCATTACGGTTAGACGCTCGGCATACCTCACCCTAGCAAGATCCCATCTTGGTTATGCCACGCAAGTCTGGACTCTGCAGTCTAAAGATCTGATTCGAAAGCTCGCGCGTGTCAAGAAGCGCAATACAAAGTATATTCTGGATCTTCCATTTATTTGTGACCAAACATAGAGGGACAGGCTAACCAAACTTAACTTATTACCTATCTCCTATTAGCACAAGTTTTTAGACGATTTTCTTCTTCAAAGTTGTAACTGGCACAGTTAAAGTTAGTCCTTCTGTTCTTTCTCATGTCTTAGTTACTCGCACTACCAGATCTAACAGCAATCCTAATGTTACTCACTCACTTTATTTCAAGGAGATGTAATACTGTCACCTTTCACAGATCTTTTTTAATAGAACCACTAGAATCTGGAACACCTTAACAAACGACCTTCAACTTTCATGCAACCCTCAGATCAGTCAATTCAAATCCATCGAGTATACTGGTAAGTACTATGTAGACGCCTTAGAACATAATTACCACCCAAAGGACCCACGATCCTGGAAAACCATCTGTCCATCATGTAAAATTTCACGTAATGTGTCTGTCTATCTTCGTTGTTTTTTCTAATCATCATAAACTTGTAACTTTACTGTTTGTTTAATTAAAATATTTTTTAAACTCTGGGACCACTGTAATTAGCTCACCGCTGTTGTGGTATCCCTAATTAAGCATTTATTATTCTTTGTTTTAGTATATCTTTGTTTCATGTAATAGACGAAGTTAATAACAAAGTAAAAATAAATCAAATATTATCTATCCGTCTTGCTTGTAAATATGCCATCAGGTACTTTCGTATTTTTTTTCAATCATCAAGAGAGACAACTAATGTTACCTACCTTGATCAAAACCCAAGCTTTCAAATGTTGCAGAAGGCGGAGGAGCGTAGACTCTCTTTGGTGGACCATCTGCTCTCCGGCCAAATGCCACAGACTCCTTTACCGTTTCTCTTTCTGGCTCATATTTTTTTCGAGCCTTGTCCCGCTCTTCTTTAGTTATTTCTAAAAGTTTCAAACAACAAATTACTTTGACATTCAGTGAAGATATCAAGTAGGTATTAACATGTGTTAAGGTAACGTCAAATTTGAGATGAAAACATGAAAATGAGTACTGAAAATGATACATAGGAGGGGTTTAAAAGATCGGGACGTTTATTCTGATAACTGTACCAAGCTCAACATGCAAAACTATTATATGCTTTCAGAGAAAATATCAAGAGAGCTAGTTTACAAAAATATCCAATCCATTCATTGATACTTCTTGGAAGTCTGGAGATCCACATTGCTATTTCAAATCTCAGCCTTGATGCCTGAATCCTCATTAAGGGTCATTAACCTGTCATCATTAGCCTATCCTTTCTTCAAACTTGACATTGAACAACATGTAACGTTCAAACCTTTGTTAATCAAGCAAGAATTAATCACTACAGTGTAAATGGAATAATTTTGCTCCTTTTTGCTATTTCCTGGTATTTTGGGGTAATTGTCATTGAAGTGTCTATAAGAAAGGGGGCACTAATTAGAGAAGGGTGTCTAATACAAACTTAAAATCGTATGGGAGGCATTTATTTGAGGAGGCATCCATTAGATCATTATGGTAAATAAGACGATTTTGGACTGAGACTGGAAAACAAGCATGGCTGTCAACATGGGGAAAGAAATACATGTATGGACAGCAACTAAATCCCAGGTAAAAATAAATCACAGAAATTTGACTGAAATAAACTCCTTATTTATTACAGACTCTGACTAATAAGGAACTAATTTGAGCCCCCTAAAGTGTCTGCTGTAAAGGGTGTTGATTGTACATTAAAAGAGTTTTTTTCTGATGTTGCCCCAGTTTAACCCATTCGCCCCTGAACCGCCCGTAACCGCCCGTGCGGATCCACGTCCTTTCTACCCTTTGTGACGTCATCAGTTTTAACAGTCAAGGACAACTTTGTCCGCTAACTTGTGCAGAGTGAAGAGATCTTTCAAACCACACCAGAATGAGCACAATTCAGTCAAGGAAACCGGAGAAAGAGGCAAAAAACCATGTAACATTGACCTGAAAATCTCCATGAAAATCTTGTTCCATTGCCCACCTACCTTTCCTTTCACCTAATCCTAAGATCCTTAAAGCTTTGCTAAAAAGTATTCCCACCAAAATGAAGCCTACTAAATGCCCAGCAAGAGAAAAAAAAATGAGGCAACAAAAGCGAAAAAAGAGGGGAGGAGAGAAAGCGAAAAGTAAAAGTCAAGACTGCTGTGTCACTTTTAAACCCAAATTTTGCTTTCTGCGCATGCCCGAACTTCGCAAGCTGATATTTTGCATCAGTTTTTTGCATCTGGATAACTGGATCAGAAGGCCGCGAAGTGTACGACCTGTAAAGCGGTTTGTGGTAAGTTTTAGCTCTTTATAGCACGACAGTGACCAGAAAACCACTCGACTAGCTTCAAAACGCGTTTTTCGGCAAAATCTCCAGGAGCGAATGGGTTAAAGAATTTATAAATTATTTACATCTGGCTATTACACTGATAACTTGACTGATAACTAGTCAAAGAAGTTTAAAAATGGAAGAAAGACAATTTACACTATATTTTGTTTATTGCTCACCTTTCCTATCCAGTAACTCAACAGAGGGAAGATGATGTACTACGTAAGATCTGTAATCATATTCTTGAGCCAACGGATTACCAAAAAGATCTAAGAAAATATTAACAAGAGCAAAAACAACTTACAGGTAGAGGTACATGTATTTTAAAAAAAGTTATCAGTACTCTTAGAGTTGAAAATGTTACAGCTACAGCCTGTTCATTACACCCTGCTGAATTTTAAATTAGACCACATGTTAAGAAGAAATAAATGTAGAGATGGGCTCTACTCTGTTCAACATTTTGCAACTTGGTGCTAACAATGAGAATGGGAAAAATCTGTCGATCAACAAAATGTTGAACTGTTTGTCACCAACTATAAAGTTTAAGTTTTTAATATGCTTTCAAGGGTCATTACACGCAGTGTTTTACACAATAGGGGACAGAATTCCAGATACTTCCAGTTCTAAACAGTCTTGAGCTTCGCGGTAAAATTTCTATCATGGTCAGAAACCTGGATGGGAGCCACACAGGCTTCAAGGCCAGATAGTGTATGTACTGGAAAAACCAGTTTATTAACACTCCAAAAAATGTCAGCATTGTACCAAGCCCGCCCAAAACTAGTACCTATTACAGTATCATGCTTGATCAATACTTATTAGAAGCACAAAAGCAAATGACATTGCACTTACTAAGTTTTTTGAGGCACTGCATGGCTCTCAATTCATGAACAACATCAGTAAGTTTTAACAACTGATTTCCATTTAGTAGCAACACCTGAAGACAAGTCAAGTGCTTCAAACAACCATTTAGCTCCATCATCAAGTTATCTTGCAAATACAGCTCTCGTAGTTGATAGTTTGAACTAAAGCATGTCAATTTTCTTATCTGTAACAATACACAAAGCAGAGATACAGTGTATTAATAAAAAAGTTAGAACGTTTAATTATTACCCTGTAACCAGTATGAGGTAAACGAGAAATTACCTCTTGGTATAAAATTGTTGTAGGACAAAATTAAATCAAGGTTGAAATTTTTCAGTGTAGTTTAACTCTGGGTTTCCTCTGACCCTAATTAGTGGAAAATAAATTATCAGGGTTAAGACACAAAAGGGAAATTTTTATTAACTTATTATATGAAATTTTTGCAACACATCAATTTTATGCTTTGATGGTTTGCATATTTTGCGACACTTAAATTTTGTAATTTTGGAAAAATTTTGGATTTGAGAGTCACTTTAATTTTGCATTATTGAACAAGACACAACAATTAATTCAACTTTTTCTTCAATCAAATAAAATGACTTCACCTGCAATTGTTATCATTTCAAAACTAAAAAATGATGCATCAGTGGGTATTGTCCACGATACCCAGATACCCACTATAAATTATTTATTATTTATTTATTATTTATTTATTATTTAGAAAAGGATCACTGGGAGGTAAATGTAGCGCTGTACTCCAAGAGTATGTCCCGTACTCATTTTGAACAGTGTAGGTTCTTTAACATCCCACAAGAACAGATTGGTGTAAGTGCTGTAAGAAGGGACCTACGGTTTTTCATCCTTATCCGAGAAGACTGGAAAGTCTAACCATTTGCAGTTGTCATTACAAAGGCAGCACTTTCTTCTCAGTTATTTAAGGACCCTGAGTGTTGGTCTGGCTGGGGTTTGAACCCGCAACCTCCTGCTCAGCAGACCGGCGCTCTCCCAACTGGGCTAACCAGAGTTCTCGGCTACTTGTCCTTACGGAGCAAGGGATGAGTTGAACAGAACCCTAGGAACGAAGTCCTTTCCGGACTGTACTGTTTACCCACCCTACTAAAATTAAGAAGCTTCTGAAGTGACAGCCTTGGATCACTGCTTACCTTATTTCCATTCAACCACACAATTTGCAAATTTCTATATTTCTCACAGTCTTTTACCTCCTCGAGACCTCTGCATAAAACACAAGAAACATAACCTCTTATTGTTAAGTGAGGTGCAGCTTAAAGGAGCTCTATCTTTCAACAGTTTTAGCAATTTTCTAGCTGAACTACATGTGGAAAAGACACAAAAACTTGCCTGTTTGCCAAGTAAAGTTCCGATACATCTTTATCTTTTGTTATGCCGCGTCTCTTCAGCTGCTCGTCCACTTCCTTTAAACAATAAAAGACACGTCAGAATGTCATGCAGAAAGTTGAAACTTGAACGTTTACCGTGCTTGCCTTTTCGCTGTCCGCCATGTTAGAAAGTCAAGAATATTACCATGGTTACCCTAAAGAGTGCGGTTCTTCGGATAAAAAACGCGGGCTTATCGTATCACAATGGCGGCCGCCTGATGAATTTTCTTCTTACTCTTTATACAGCGCAAATGGAGAAAATAACCTTGGCACAAACAGCACAATTCTTTTACTTGAGAGTGAAACTGTAAGTAAATATCAAGTTTTCGTCTTCTAAGGTTTGTTTTCGAAGTTTATTACCACCAAGTCGTGAAACGCAATAATTCAGGCTGAATAATCAATAAACACGGCCCAAAGAAATAAATCGGAAACCGTCCAGGGGAGGAAGCCAAGAAAATGAAATGTTACAAAAGGACAATTTGTCCAAGTCTCAGGTCTATGTGGCTCACAGTTTCTGAGTTATTTGGCAAAACATCTCACGCATCATTAGAACTTTACAAGTTGGTCTAGATAGCAGCAACAATATGGATAGCCACATAAACACCCGGCATAAACATAACAACTTTATTTCATTTTCCAGACATGTTTCAACGGTGCATCCGTCATCTTCAGTGTTACATATTTTAAAATCGCCTTCCAAGTATGTAGTCGCCATACGTGGGTACAGTTTTGGTACACAAATATGGCCACCGGAAATCAACAAAAATATGTGGAGTTCTCTTTTTCTGTAAAAGCTCTTTCCTTTCCCTCGAGAGCTAGCACAGGTGCGCATAAACAGATCTTCTAATACTTAAAATGATTAAACTGCTGAAAATCAAGAGGAGAGGCTCTTTTTTGGACGAGATGGCATTGGTATTTTGTGTCATGCACTGTAAAAACTCAGAAGTTCAAACTGAGGTAGTTTTGAAGTGAAGCATGCTTCGGGACTTGAAACTTGTACAAGGATTTATTTTTTGTTCATCTTCAACCTTGCGTAAATGAGAATTTGTAAAACCTCGCTATTTTGACTTTACAATTTGATGACGTCACTGTGAAAACCATCTGTAGATGTTTGTATGACAAGTTAAGCCTAGGTACGTATTTCTTGGTGCTGCGGAAACTATTGTTGATTAGCTAGCTACTGGTATTGTGTTGTGATGTGGGTATTACCTTGTTAGTGATTGCAACCGTCTGCAACACCAAGAAACTACCCAAAAGTTTAATTTGTGCCCTCCATTGTGCAAATAGCCTGTGAATACAGGTGTCCTTCTCTCCTCGCTTCTTGCCACTGGGGACGTTTGGCAGGAGAAACATCTACGATTTGGCCCCAAAAGTTCCGTACTGGTGATGTAGATTTGTACAGAATCTGGTCAACAAACGCTGACTGGTCGCTGGTAGTAGTTATTTTCTTTTAGCCATTTATATTAATTTTGAATTACACAGGTACAAAAGACAACAGGTCACAAAGATAAAATGTAAAGGCGATAAACAACTATTAATTGTTAGCTGCTTATTAGTCTGTGTGCAGAGATCCCCCTACTCCGCATTTCAGGGAAACAGGAACACGATTAACGACGACTATTCACAGATGTCTCTCCCTGATTTTTTCTGAGCGGAAGGGGGCATCTGTACATAGGCTGACTGTTTATCAATAATTCAATAGATCAGTGTCCTTACTGTTTGGTATGTTCTGTATACCACTTTTAGAAACATGCATTTCCACATACTAATATTTGATTAAAAAACACAGAATGTAAGCATTAGCATGGAAATTAGAATCTTTTTGTGTCATTATTTCTTGTTGTACCTTTACTGAAAGGAATGAAAACCACCAGACTTTCGAAAGAGAGTATTATAGTTTCTGCACTATTGATAAACACAGGCAAAGGTCAGCAGAGGTGGAAAACATTCCATTATTGAGCTTTTCTCTTGTAAGCTTTTCCTCAATGATAAATTGCCACCGACAACTACTTCGCAGTTTGTGCTATTTTGCCCCCTCTTCCCTCTGATCAGACAAAATACTCCAAATGCCTTTAAAACACAATACTCGTCACATTACTTGGGACAGTGGTGATATTTCCTGCCCCCTCAACGTTGTTTTTTGCGAGTTGGCATCACAGAAGCCAAAAAATTCAACACTTGGAGGGAAAAAGAACAACTTTTTGTCGGAATATGGGTACGGCACGGCATGTCCCAACTTAATTTGACACGGATTGTAGCTGGTTTTCAGTTGCAAAAGAGCTATTTCATGAAGTAAATAATGTTCCATCATTTTCATTTCAGTTGGACTTGTGAGAAAAAATAGGTTCTAAAGCCATTGAGCAAACTGCCAAAGGTTGAACTTGTTGATATGCTTTTGATTAGTGCAAAAAAGTCGCTTTAAATATTTGCAACAAATATTTTGTCAAGTGTGCACAAATGAGTTTTGATGCTTAAAACTAAAACTCAAGTCACACCTTTTGCACATAAAACTTTGTCTAATGCCCTAAAAAAATTGTAAAATTTTCCTGTAGAAACATGTCTTTAGGGAATCCCCTTAGAAGCCAGTGCCTTTTGATCCACCTGATTGGCAGTCAAAGCATTTTTTCTCAATAAGGCACACAAGCATACAAAATTCCAGCTATGCAAGGCTGTGCTCAAAGAATAATTGAGGGGAGCCCAGTTCTCTCAACCTGTGGAATTTAAGGTGCTTATAAGCCAAGGGAGTATGGGCAGAACATTATGGTATTATTAGTTTTATTTTGTCTTTATTTTAGGGAGATAGCTAAAGAAACAGATCTTCCTCCAATTCATCTTGAGGCAGTGACATTTAAGAGCATTCTATTGCAGGCTCTTGACTCTTTACATGGCAAGGTACAAGGCTAATAGCAATAATTTTTTATTCCTAGCTTCTCACTAGATGAGTTTATGTATACACTATATGCTCGTTTAGTTCAAATTAGAAAGAGAGCATATGTTCGTCTGTTTATGTAGAGGATTTCATCTGCTCACATTAGAATAATGACCATAGATTAACTAATACCAATAGAGTGCACACATATAAAAGTTAATATATCTGTTAATGATCATTTAACAAAACAGATTGGTGCTGCCCTTAATGTTGACATCCTCAAATTTGATGCGAAGTCAATGGAAGCCATAGTAAGAGTAAGAGAAAGGTCAGTAACTGCAGAAGAATACTCTGCTTGAAAGAACAATGCATTTTGAACTCCCTTAAAACAACCACATGTCGTACCTTTCTTTCCAGATTGCTGGGTGGCTCATGCAGTGAAAGGTTGCACTGTCTTTTTACACTAAACTAGAACATAGGGAGGGAGGGAGGGTTAGAGTTTACGTCCCCATCTGGATCTGAACAAATGTGACGCACTTGAGCGAAGCGCTTGTTTTATGGACCACTAATATGGGGGAGAGGTCTGGACCCACCCCCCCCCCCCCTATCAGACCTGCTGTGTTTTAATACTTGTTTGACAATGAAATTCTTACATCAACAGAATGACCTATAACGTTTCAACTGATTGATATTTTTTTTTTATTGAAATGTGTTTTACATTTTGGCACAATAATTAAACTGAGGGCATACATGTATTAAAAAATGTAATTTTGGGAGTGTACCCTCTAATGGCCTGCCAGTTTCAACTCGTAAAGCAGTGATGACCAACTGGCGTATAACTGCAAGGGGGAGGAAGCAAGGGGTGCCGTAGTATGGGGTTGAAGTAATTTCCCACAAACATAGCCTGTGTACGTAGCTGGCATTTTTTCTTTGGGTGTTTTTCCTTTTGTGCTTTGTAAAGTAAGAGATACAACCGCGCGAAAGCTGATCCGAGGACGAAGAAGAAAACGATGGGGGAGTGGGGCGAGGGGAAAAGGCAGTGAGAAAAACCACCTGCAATTAGCCCCTTGAGGTTTCTGAACCTGTGTCCGCTTTTTGGACGCAACGCTTTTTGAACGGCATTCCTGTCCTGATTGGCCAACAGAATGTCAACCTGTCAGCAAATGTCAGATTCCCAGTGGATACAAACTTCAAAGGAATACCGTCGGTTGTAATGGGGCTTGCTGCATCTGACCTGATTTGTGTTCGCTCAAAAAAAAATTCATTGTCAGGATTTGACACGTTAAGATGTTTTGTGGTTCCAAAACTCCAAAAAGTAATTCTTAAAGGCAAGCGAGCTGTTTCTGAACGAAAAATATTTCTGAAAAAGGAGAAAAATTATCTCGTACATGTATTTGTGAAAACAACTCAAGTCAACAGTCGCCTTGCGTGAGAGATTTGTGTTTGTTAATCTTTAGACGCCAAGAAGTTCTGCACTTCTAAAACTCCAAAGAATTTAAAAAGAATAATTACGAGAAATGTGTCTGGCAAAGGAGAGAAAAATACTTTGCACATTTGTTACAGCGGAAATAACCGAACCCAACAGTCGCTTTGTGTGTGAACTTTTCCTTTTGTCTTATCATGTGTCAGTAATCAACATTCGTCACTGCAAATGAGACTTTATTTGAAAAGAAAACAGTACAGATCAGAAAAAAAACCATTGATCATTCCAATTCCAGTAAGAAAAATTACCGTAAAATTCCGAAAATAAGCCCCTCCAAATATAAGCCCCCCAAGCTCGTAACGCAAAAAACGCTCCGTTAAATTGCCCCTCCAAATATGAGCTCCCCCGGGGGCTTGTACTTGGAAATTGCCCTCAAATACAAAGTAAAACAAAGCAAAAACGGTAAATTTCCTTCCAACTATAAGGCTTGCCCAATCGATTTTGAAACGCACATTTCCCTCCGTAGATAAGCCCCTTCGAATATAAGCCCCTCCAAAAATAAGCCCCTCAAAAAGGGCCTTTGTAAAATATAAGCCCCGGAGCTTATTTTCGGAATTTTACGGTATTTCCTAAATAACGAAAGCGCTGATAAAAAACATTAACCCATTCGCCCCTGAACCACCCGTAACTGCTGGTGTGGATTCACGTCTCTTCCCCCGCTTGTGACGTCATCAGTTTTAATGGTCAAGGACAACTTTGTCCACTAACCTGTGCAGAGTAAAGAGTTCTTTCAAAGCATACCAAACGGAGAACAAGGCAAAAAACCATGTA